GGGCAAGGGAAGGGGCAAGGGAAGGGGCAAGGGAAGGGGCAAGGGAAGGGCAAGGGAAGGGGCAAGGGAAGGGGCAAGGAAGGGCAAGGGAAGGGGCAAGGGAAGGGGCAAGGGAAGGGGCAAGGGAAGGGGCAAGGGAAGGGGCAAGGGAAGGGGCAAGGGAAGGGGCAAGGGAAGGGGCAAGGGAAGGGGCAAGGGAAGGGGCAAGGGAAGGGGCAAGGGAAGGGGCAAGGGAAGAGGCAAGGGAAGAGGGTGAGCGGCGAGGGACGAGGGGGAGCGGGGAAAGCCAGGCTGGTTGAGCACGTGGTACACCGCCTTCTCGTTGCGCAGCTGGACGAACACACACACGGAATGAAGGGGTGCGGCGAGGGGAGAGAGGAGAGGGGGAGAAGGGAGAGGAATGGAGAGGTGGAAGGGGAAAAGCTGGTTGGGCACCTGACAAAAAGGAGGGGGCGGGGGAGGCGAGAGGAAGGAATAGGGGAGACGGGGGAGAGTGGAGAGTATAGGAGAGACAAGGGGAGGGGAGAGCGAATAGGGGAGACGGGGGGGGGCGAGCGGTTTGGAGCAGAGGGATTCCAACGAACGAACCAGCGAGGCCCAGTGGTCGACGTAGACGCTGTTGCTGTTGAGCACGTACGAATGCACAGCAAGAAGGTAGCAAGGGAGGTGCGCAAACACAGGAGGCTGGCACCCACCACAGGCACCAAGACCCACCAGAGAGGCGCGCACACAGGAGGCTGGCACCCACCACAGGCACCAAGACCCACCAGAGATGCGCGCACACAGGAGGCTGGCACCCACCACAGGCACCACGACCCACCAGAGAGGCGCGCACACAGGAGGCTGGCACCCACCAGCGAGGTCCAGCGGTCGACGTAGACGCTGATGCCATTGAGCACGTTGTCCCGGTGGCGGTTGCCCGCGTCTATGGCCGTCTGCAGCTCCGTCAGGCGCCCGCGCACCTGCACGCGGTGGAACGAGGGGGAAAGGGGGATGCATGGAGAGAGGAAACTGAAGAGGATGTGACGACGCGCCTCTACAGACTATGGTGGCGGTTGCCCGCGACTGTGGCCGTGTGCAGCTCCGTCAGGCGCCTGCGTACCTGCAGGTGGTGGCGTAGGAGAGAGGGGAGTGACGCGGGGATGCAGTGGGAGAGGATGGGGGATGTGAAACAGCAGGATATAAGGTAAAGAGGCGCAAAAAGAGGAGCAGTGAGGCCAGCATGGCAGATTAAAACTAGAGCGGGGGAGAGATCTGGGGGGGAAGAAGAGGGGGAGGGACGAGGGCGGGCGGGCACATGCCTGTGACGCCATTTCCCGGGCAGCAAACCTCGGCGAGCATCCAGCGCTGCCCGGTTGGTGCCAAGGCCTCACAAATCCTCACAATGCTACCACACCACACTACACACATTCCACTGCGAGCATCCGACCACCGGCGCTGGGCTACACGCATCCCACTCCCAGCCTCCCACTACAGACATCCCACTAACAGCACCCCAGCGCACCTCAGCGAGCATCTGGCGCTGCCTGGAGGGCTCCTCAGGGAAGGGGTAGCGGTTGGCGCCAAAGGCCTCGCAGATCCGCATGATCTTGGTGCGCGCGCGCTCTCCTGCGAAGAACACCACGAACACCACCTTCTCCACCTGCGCAGGGGAGGCGGAGCAAGGGAACGCAGGGGAGGCGGAACAAGGGAACGCAGGGAAGGCGGAACAAGGCAACGCATGGGAGGGACGAATAAGAACGAGTCCAAAGGAATGCGGTACGGAACTTAGCCGCAATAGTTCCTCATGATCTTGGTGCGTGTGCGCTCGCCCACGGAGAACACCACAAACACCACCTTCTCCACCGGGAAGGGGGAGGGAACGTGGGAGGGGGGAGTGAAGAGAAACCGATTCATGAAAGATGGGCACTGCATAGCCCTCAAGTGTTCCGCATCATCTTGCTGCGCGCATGCGCGCCTGAGAAGAACACCACAGGCACCTCCTTCTCCAAATGCGCACTAGGGAGGAGAGAGGGCCGTCTCTCTCCTTCCCTCCAGTCTTTGACCACGCCTATCCACCACCGCTCTTTCCCTCACCTCTTCGCCTGTACCAGGGTCCAGGACCGGCTCGTCCACCACCTCCTGCTTGAGGAACATGTTGCCGCGAGTGGCGCGGAACAGCAGGCGCTCGAACGTGAGGACCTTGCTCAGCGGCACCAGCCCCGTCACGAAGCCCAGGCGCTTGGTCGAGTCCGACGCCATCTCCTGGAAGGGGGAGGGTGAGAGGCAAGGACCACTAGAAACGCGGAACTGCAGGCGCAAAGACGACCTTGCACAACGGCACGAGGCCGATTCTTTGTATTCTCAAAAATCACGAAGCCCAGGCGCTTGCTCGCATCCCATGCCATCTCCTGGAGGAGAGAGAGAGGGGGACGAGGTCGGGGCAACAAATAGCAAGCGAAACCGTGCTGATATTGGGAGCAATGAACGGATCAAGGCACACCCGGAGCAATAGCAGCCGTCGGAATGCAGCGGGCTCCCGAGGTACACACAGCGACATGCACGCACGTGGCCGCATCGGCATCGCCAGAGGTACATGCCTAAAAGACGCAGTGGTGTAGTACCTGCTCCAGCAGCAGCGGACCGTCCATGGGCGAACTCTCCCGCAGAGGTGTGATTGGGGGAGGTGCGCCTTAGGAAGGACGTACCTGCTCCAGCAAGAGCGGGCTGTCCATGGACGAGCTCTCGCGCACGGAAGAAACGCGCACGATCTCCCGCTGGTACTCCGCCGCGCCCATCTGCGCGCTGGAGAAGAACGACCCCGCCTGTCGCCGCCACCGGCAGGCAGGCGGAAAGCGCGGGTAGGGGGGGGGGGGAAAGAGGGGAGAAGCAGAGAACGGAGGAATGAGGGGAGAGCGGGATCCAGATCCGGTGAAGGAAGATAGGTGATGCGACGGCAGGAACGACCGTGACCGTGAACCGTGACCGTGACCGGCAATGAGGGTCGTTGCTCACTGCATGGGGACACTTGAGAGCAATGAGCGGCGCGAAGGAGGCGAAAGAGGGTCCCGCTGGGATTAGCGAGGGGATGGAGCAGCCGTTAGAAGGGGAACAAAGGGGGGTTGTTCGGATGCAAGGGGGCGGAGAGGAAAGGCAGGACTCTGGGGGTCAAACGCCTGCATTGCAGGAGAAGCCAGGACGAGACGGCAGTAGTAGCGCAACTTTGCCGGCAACATCTCACATTGGCAACGGCGCCCTATCAAAACACTTGGTACGTAACACCGTCGCACTTATCAAGACCCACGCCTTGTCAACAACCTCGCCACACCTTTTCCAGGACCAGTTTCAGCTCAGTGAGCTCGTTGCGCGTCTTGAGCAGCTTCTCCGCATTGCCGTTCATCTCCAGCAGCTCCGCCTCGAGATCGTTCAGCTTGATCTGCACCGCACACGGAAGACGGCAATTTTTAGCGATACAGGATGAAGAAAAAAAAACACGGCGAGGGGCAAGGAATGCTGCAAGGGGGGTGGTGGAAAGACTAGCTGGCAGGGCATACTAGGGTTGTCGATTCAGGTGCACGGAAAGTTCATGTTTTTTCTTCGTCTTCTACAGGATGTACCTCGAGATCGTCCATATCCAAATCCTTATCGAGCGTCCTAGGGTTGGTCGGGAGGATCCCGGCCTTCAGCGACTGCTCTCTCAAATACCGCAGCTTGCGAGCCATCTCCCCGCATCGCTTGACCTGATTTGAGTAATAATGAATAAACGAATAAATAAACAAATAGAGAGGACAAAAACCACATCGGTCTAGAGCCGCGACGACATTCTAAGATCTGAACTCGAAAGGCGTAGATTGGAAATACCAGTGAGGGAGGGAGAGGAAGAAGGCGAGGAGGCTAGGCGGATTTCTAGTGCTGATGAGAAAAAGCATGCGCACCTGGTTCGCATAGGTACGCTGAAACGGGCTCTTGTCCGGGTTCATCTGCGAAAAAACACGAATGGCAAGGGATAGAGACGCTAGTGCCAGAATGAGCCTTCCACTGCGTGCAACAGCGACTACATTACGCTAAAAGGAAATAAAGTACAATGAAAACTCTCAGCTAAGACCCGTACATCTTTGAACTGGACAAGCCCAAGTTCCCCGAGATAGGAAATGGTGTCGTGCGCCGCTTCAGCGGGGATGATCAGCTGCATCAACTGCATTTCCTCGGACCGAAATAGGTCCATCACGGGCTCGGACCCCATGGCTGCCTCTGAGGGAGACGACAGAATCTAAGGAACTGGGATCTAAGAACCCCTGTTACTAATTATGCCACCTATGCTGTGGGAGGTCCCACAGCGTCTATTATCGGAGCCTAGAATCAGGCAACCTAGGTCGATAAGCAAGCTAGGCAAGGGCAAGCACGCATAGCAGGAAGCTAGGGAAGCAAGCTTACAAGGACCAGATCAGAACCATCTCCGCAGACCGCGGCCTTTGGTGGGGGGGGGGGGGCGGGGAGGGGGAAGGTGAGGGGGGAGGAAGGAGGTGTTGCTCCTCTACGATGCGGCTAGGTTTAGTACGGTGCATAACTCTAGAACCAGCTCTCGGGCTAAATCGTTTTTGACCGTGGGGAACCAAAGCACGCCGTAGAAAACGCAGGAATCAGGATGGTCCCACCCTGCACAGGAATTCAGGCAGCCTCAAGATTTTCGAGCGGAGGAACTGGATGAGCTGAGCTGACCCATCCGCGGCCCAACTGGATTTGCCGAAAATGCCACGACGGGCAGCACTTGCATAGCAAGGATGCTCTTGGCCAGTTGGCTGGCGGGGGAGAGCACTGAGCAGGGACCAAGGGGGAAAATTGCGCAGACGCCGGGCCGTGGGCACAGCTCCGATATCTTCTATGGCCCGCAAACCGAGCCTCTTTACCGAAGCTCCCTTCTAGCTCGGATCAAACCTATGAATACCGTTTGTGCGTCATTCGTTTGTGCAATATAAGAATGCCAATGAATGTACACATATATTTGTGGGTGTTATTCTAGGCTCAAAAAACATTTGTAAAACACTCCTCAAATAAAGGCAGAAACATTAGCACAGTGCATTATGTAGTTCCGCAAATGTGGCCCTTGGGCAAAGGACCGTTTTCAAACTAGACTTACCAATTGCACTACAACTCAACGACGCATGGTACGTCAACGTTGGTCATGTCCACCCTCCCTTAGCCTGCCTGGGTTTTTGTCACAAAGTTGTCTCAACATCGTTGAACCAGGAAAGGGCAATGGCGACAATTGGATCCACAGCGCCACCATCCAGCAGTCGAAAGACAGACACCCGGTGACCACCTACTTGAGTGAAAGCAGCGACTCTAGTCCCCGCAAAGCCATCGCCATCCCTGTGCGACAGCACCAGAGCCCGGTTTTCCCAGGTCTTCACCAATTCCACCATGGACGGGCCGAAGTCGAAATTAGGCCCATCTTGCTGCATGGGGGAAAATCAGACAACCCACACAAGAAAGAATGCATCAGAAACCCAATGCACATAGACAGACCTACTCTGTGAGTAAAACCGTATCTCAAGTAAAGAATACTTGAAAGGATACTCCTTTCTCCACGAAGAACCTACCTGGACTGGAGGCGGGGAGATGGCGAGGTAGTTGCTGGAGATGTTAATTCCCACAGGCAGGCCGTTGCTGTACACTCGAGCCTCGGTCTCGGGCCCACACCTGAAGCTCAGCCCTGACCTCTGGTTCCACTCGCCTTCACTCGCCTCCGTCACCACCATCATAAGAACCTCTCCTGTCAATCCGTGCTGCATTTTCTCGATGAAGGCAAAATCAGAAGAATCAGGAGCACAGTCAGGAAACGCGACCCTGGCATGCCGCTTCTTGCAAATGTGCGGCCAAGGAATATTAGGCTCACAGCTATCGATAAAACAATCATCAGCGAATGCTCGTCCTATAAGCCCTCTCGGCTGTCAATGACTATAGAAAAGCAGGGAAACAAATGACAACACCGTATAGAGTCACACTGGTTCGCGACACGCACCCTGATATTCGCAGCATTTTGGCCTCGAAGGTACTCCAGCCGTAGCAGGGGGCGAATCTGCAGCCACGAGCAACCAGAGACAGAGACAGACAACGTGCTAAGCAGTTGAGCATCATGTGCGGATGATACACACTAGAGACTTTACTTGATTCATAACAAGAGACGCACAAAGCTGAATAAAGCAACGGTGACATTGGGTTCAGCGACGATGTTTGCTCGCTGACGCTGCACCAGCCTCTCTCACATCAGCTCCTATAACACCACACTTAACGGCCCTACAGCCTTTCTCGTACTCAGATTGCACCTGAAGCCGTCCCGCGTCTCGTATTTACAGAACCATCAAGTGTATTACCGTTGTAAATATGAGACTCTGAAGCCGTCCCTAACCATTACCTCACCTACTGAACCGCCCTGAAGTCTCTCCCCTTGCTCTTATGCCTGATGTATTCCCCTCTCACTCCTACCTCAGCTGCCTTACGGCTCTCACATCTTCCTTCTCGCCGTTCTCTCACCTGCTTAACCGCTCTGAAGTCTTCTGCCGACAGGTCGCCCGAGTACACCAGGCGGTCGTGGCTCATGGCTCCGCGCGCTGGAAACAGAGTGACCGAGTGATGAGCATTGCTGAAGGCGAGGACGGAAAAGAAGGGGATATGAAGAGAAGAGGGACACAATGGAAGAATGAGAAACCTGGAGCGCCTTTTACAATGCATTCTGGAGCTTGGAAGGGAAACTCGAACTGCAAGCTGGTGAAGAAGATATTCTGCCTGGTACCGTTGATTGCATGAAGGGAGTGATTGACGGGGATTGGCAACGGATGGGGAGAAGCTTACCCGAGGTTCTCTCTCAACACCGAGAGCACCACTGGCTCTGCTCGGTGCTTCTTCGCCTGAAGCGAGGAGAAACAGGAAAAAAAGGCAAGGTAAGCGGAAAAGAGTTACGACTGTAAAGCATTGAGAAAAAACTGCAATGGATCCCTTGACGGCAGCCAGCCAAACTATACAAGCGACGACCAAAACAAGGTTTGCCACCCACCTGTTCGATCGTCTCTATGGGGCTGATCTTCGTGAACAGTAGCCCCATGTTTCAGCCTGTCGACAATCTCGTTGGTTTCTTGTGATTGGCTTGCGTTGATGCCAAGGATGATGCGAACGCTAGCTTTGCAGTTACTAGGTGCAAGGCGGCACACGTCCAGCAAAATAATTATGAGTGTGGTTCGCGTCGACTCAAGATTCACTAGGCGACTCAACCGGCAGCTATGTTTTGAGAATAGATCAAATCGGCGCTTCAAGCGTGAATTGCTTCAAGAAGCCAGCTATTTACACTTTCCAGACGTCAGGAGCGAGCTCAGTCAAGGAGGGAGACGTTTAGGGGTAAGACAACCTGCAGAAGTCCTTCAACCAAGCGTAGTCCAGGTGCAAGCGCTAAGCGACTCGAATCAGCAACTATAAACGACAACTGAGATGATCCTCAGTTTTAAGTTTCAAACTATTTTGCTCCCAAAAGCCTAGTTAGAACGAAAAAAGGCGGCTGCAAGAAGTCAGGAGTTGGCCTGGAAGTTTAAACGAGGGAAGCTGGATGACTGGTTGCCGGAGGGCTAGAAATGCCTAACGTCCCTTTTATTTCCTCATAGGATAACAGCATCTTCTAGGGACTCGCGTCCCGTCAACCTTGTCCTGCCAGTTGGGTGTGTCCTAAGCCTTCGTCAAATTGCGGTTGAGTAAGTTGAAAAGCGTTTCGAAAAGATCAAATAACACTATAAAACGGTTCAGCAGGGTATTGCCCGAAAACGACCGCTTCGGACCGTGTGAGCTGTCTGCTTCCTCGCCTTCCCCGAGCTGCCTTCTCAGAAGGGAAATCCCAAGAGCCTGAGGCTGGCGAAACACCCTTGCGGTTCGGCTCTGCTTCGTCTGCCTGCCGTTGGGCCACCCGAATTGCGCGGGACCCTGACATTTCGACAAAGCCGCCAACCTATCGCGGCGCAGAAATCCCATTAGCACGCGAGGCGACAACAGTTAGACATGCACAGTTTAGTTACAGTAAGCTAATCTTAAGAGGCCTTCTGCACATCCCATTTAATGGCTGGTTTAGGCTCCTACTGGGCTAGGTTTTCCTTGTGATTGTCATCATGTTCAGTGCATGTTCACGACTAGTTGGTTTTCTCTTAGGCTAGGCTTCATCAAGTGGCTAAGAGAAGTTTTTGCACTAGCAGCATTAATACGCTCGTTTTCAGCTTATAATACATGCCTATGATAGTGTGGTCACATAAGTGTCCAAGTTACTTATAAACAACTCGCATCTGCACAATTGAACGGCGGGGAGCAATGCAAAAGGGGTATTGAAGTAAACCACATGTTTCAGGAATGCTTAAATGGTAACTCTGTCGAGTATACTTCAACAAGGGGGACAGCCAATGCTCATTGACTCTGACGTGTCTCTCACTTATCTCATCAACCCAAGGAAATGACTGAAAGTAGCATAGCCAAACAATGCCACCACCCAGCCGACCCCTCGCATGGCCCATGGTTCCTTACCTATCTTCTCCCCTCCTTGTCCTCGCACTTACCAGTACCTTCCCCCATCCACACATTCCTCCATCTGCCTTGCTCCCTCAATTCCTACTCTCCCCACCCCCCTCGATCCCTCCCTTTTTTTTCCACAACCTTCCTGACCCTTTCCATCCATCCCCCTCAAATTCCCCTTGAGGTGCATCACAGTAATAGCTTTCCCAATATTGCTCCACCTTTCATCCCCCTGACGTACCTGAATGGTTCACCCGGCACATAAAGAGGGTTCTTGATGACATATTCAACGTAAATGTTGGTGTAGATGTGCCTCAACGCGTCACGCAGGTCGCTCATCTTTGGATCAGTCACCAGTATTATCTGCAGGTTAGGGACCATTGAGATCAAACAGGCGATAACAAAATCACCAAGTCGAATAAATCCCAGACAGTGGAAGAGAAAGCGCAGGCGATAGAAAAAGAAGAGCAAAAGAAAACGAGCAGGATAACAATAAAACTCTCAGGCAAGTGTGCTTGGTGTTTGGAATCTTACCTTGATGCCTGAGGGGGTCTCAAGGTAGTTCAGTTTGTAAGTGTTGGTGCGGAAGGCATGGAAGGAGCAGCCGTCGCCTGATGCACCGCTGACAAGAACACCAAGTCAGCGAGCAGACCCCCCAGAGGAGAAGAAATGGAGAAGGGAAAGAGAAGATAGAGGAAATATTTGCTCAAAGAAAGGGATGCGGCCTATGAGAAGGCGGTTGGAGTCAGGAGCTCGAGGGAATCTGCCGTTGGGATATGAAAGGAGAATAAATGAACGGACAACTTGCAGGAATGGGAAACGGAGGTGACGATTGAGGAAGGGACAGAACGCCACGTAGCTGGGGGAAAGCAGCGGGGTTGCAAAGGTGTTACACAGAAGAAGCAGCGTACTTGATGGGATCCATTAGTGGGTGCACAGAAGAAACACAGGACGCGTACTTGATGGGGTCCATTTTCGCGGTGAAGGAGCGGAGCGAGAAGACTAGGCCGAACATGAGCTTGTGGTCGTCCGTGTTTGGCGGGTTCGGCCGGTACCATTCCCGATAGAATATGCAGCCGTCACGATTAAAGACGTAAATCATGTTTATTCGCGAGTTTCCTTTGACGCCGTTACCGGCGGCGCCGCCGACTACGCTCAGCATGATCGCGCCTCTGGTAACGAAAGGGACTGAGTACTAGCGTAGCCCTCACCCTCAGCAGTCACCAAGACACCGTGACCGTTACGCGGAATTAACGCCAAGAGGTGACAGGGATGCGTTGATGTCTGTTGGAGACAGTCGCTATGTGTGTTTCTAAGGCAGTCACCAATGCGATGACAACGTAGGATGCGGTGTCAGCAACACAGGACAGAACCTAGTTAGAGGTTTGCTGTAGGGCCAGCAGGAGGGAATGTAGAGAATGAGGCAGTTATTAGCAAATGCGTTTTCGTTTATAACCGGGAACCTATGAATTGTAATTGTTGTGGTGCATTTCGTTTACACAGTGAGGTTTTGTTTTTACTTCCCCCCCTCCCCCACGGCTTGCCCCTTGGGATTTGTTGAAGACAGACCAAAGGCCTGATTCTGCCCCTCGGTGTTTCCTTCGTTCATTGCTCCTGTCCTTGCTCCCCAAGCGAACACCAGCGCAAGACGTCACTCGCAAGAAAGGTTTTTGCAGACCTAGGAAAGACACCTATTCTATCTTCCTGTACAGATCTTCTTCGCGCCTGCAAGTCTCCGTGCCTCGTGGTTACGTGGGGTCTAATAGCGTACTGTGACGGGTCTTCTTCCTGGCGCCTCTCAGGCCCTTCGCCGTTCCCCACCGCTTCCGTCACTCGTTCAACGCCGTTTAGCCCCGTTTGTCTCACGATCGTTCTATCCTTCTTGCCGGCTATTCGTTATCCCTGAAGCCTCGATATGGCGACTTTCGGGACAGTCACAGCCACGCAACCGCACAATCCTAACAAGGATATCGAGGTACCGTCCCTACCCAGCAACGCTGTAGCTGCGAACACAACGAGATTTTCTCTGGTCATTGCACTTAAGTGCCTGTTAAGCGTCACACTTAACTGTCTGCTCGCCTTCAGTGCACGCCGCTCTCGCCACCGTGCCACAGCAAGCCTTGGCGTTCCCGGCGAATTGTTCTAGCAAGTCTTGCGATCTCGCAGGCTGAGCATCTACTAGGGTTTGTTCCCAGCACGAGCGCCGGAGATCACTGTCTCAGCATTTCTGGGTAGGACATGGAGGCTAGCTTATGGGGCATATGCCAGCACCCAGCGCGTGGCGCTTAACTGGTGTGAGAAGCGCCTGATCCTCATCCCCCCTGTCCCGCCATCCTTCCCTGTCAGCCTCCCGTCGTCCTTCTGTCAGCCTCCCGTCGTCCTTCTGTCAGCCTCCCGTCGTCCTTCTGTCAGCCTCCCGTCGTTGTTCCCTATCGGCCTCCCGTCGTCGTTCCCTGTCAGCCCCCTAAATCGCACGTCGCACCTGACTGCTGTGCCTGACCCATACCTGTTGTGACCCTGTCGCATGGCTGCTGCTCGTGATCGCCTGCAGGTAGCCCAACCACCCAATGCTGGTATATCCTGCCGCTGCTTTGATCTCAGTGCCAGCTTCCTCCTTTTCCCGCCCCGTGCCTGTTGCTTAACATGCGACGCAATCCCTTCCCTGCAGGTGGCCCAACCGCCCAATGACGGCATCTCCAGCATGTGCTTTAACCCCAAGGCCAACTTCCTCGTTGCCACGTCATGGGACAACCAGGTGACGTGTCGCTGCCTGGTTACTCTATTGGGTAACCAGGAGACTCTGTTGGGGTAACCAGGTGATGCTGTTGTTTCACTCTGTTGGGGTAACAGTGTGACTTGGTGCTACAAAGCCACCCATTCAAATTAATAACCACCCTTCTCCCCAGACACAGCAACACCCCTCGTCCATCTTCTCCTCTCTCTCCCATCTTCTCTCCCGCCATCAGGTGCGCTGCTGGGAGATTCAGGGCAATGGAGCCAGTGTGCCCATGCCCTTCCTTCTTCCCCTCCCCCATTTCCTCCCTCGTCAGTGCTCTCACCCGTCTCGTGTCGCCCTTCTCTCTTCTCCCTGCCGCCATCAGGTGCGCGACTGGGAGATCCGGGGCAATGGAGCCAGTGTGCCCATGTCCTTCCTTCTTACCCTCCCCCCTTTCCTCCCTCATCAACCTGCCATCAGGTGCGCTGCTGGGAGATTCAGGGCAATGGAGCCAGTGTGCCCAAGGCAGGCACAGCACACGATCAACCTGTGAGTTCCATGCCTTGCATCTTTCGTGGTTGACTCTGGCTTCTGATTCTTTGCAATGACTAGCTGCCTCGCCTACTCAGTTGCCAGAAATTTGCCAACACTTTTTTACACTTTTTTTTTTCATCGCCTGCAGGGGGGGGGGGCTCTATTCTGTGCTCGCTTGCCTTTTCTTCCCCTTCCCCCACTATGTTCCAGCTTGCCTTTTATTCCAGCTGCTGCGTTCTGGCATTGTTGTCTTTTCTGGCGGCTATGACAAGCCGGCCTAGATGTGCCTTCTCATGTTAACTAACAACCGTGCTCCTCCTCTCACCCCACCTCCCCATCTCCCTGATTTGCCCGCCAGGTGCTTTGCTCAGCGTGGAAGGACGATGGCACCACTGTGTTCTCAGGCGGGTGCGACAAGCAGGCCAAGATGTGGCCGCTAATGTCGGGGGGAGCAGCGAGCACAGTGGGTGTGCATGACGCGCCGATCAACAAGATGGCGTGGATTGCTGAGATGAACCTGCTGGTCACGGCCAGCTGGGACAAGACCATCAAGTGAGTAGAGATGTGGCCTTGGATGTTGGGAGGTTTAGGGGGGGGGGAGGAGGGAAGTGGTGGAGACATTGAGCACAGTGGGCGGGCACGATGCCCCGATCAACAAGATGGCGTGGATTGCTGAGATGAACCTGCTGGTCACGGCCAGCTGGGACAAGACCATCAAGTGAGTAGAGATGTGGCCTTGGATGTTGGGAGGTTTAGCGGGGGGGGGGGGGGGGGGGGAGGGGGGAAGTGGTGGAGACATAGAGCACAGTGGACGGGCACGATGCCCCGATCAACAAGATGGCGTGGATTGCTGAGATGAACCTGCTGATCACGTCCAGCTGGGACAAGACCATCAAGTGAGTGATGTGGGGGAGTGAGCCTGGTATGGGACTTGTTTAGATTGAGGAAGTTCCACAGTGGGTGTGCACGACGCTCCGATCAATAAGATGGCGTGGATTGCTGAGATGAAGCTGCTGGTCACGGCCGGCTGGGACAAGACGATTAAATAAGTGATGAGGAACAAGGTGTGGCCTTGGATGTTGGGTGGGGTGTCAAGCAGAGTAGATGCGCATGATGTACGAATCAAGAAGTTGTGGATTTTTAAAGCAAAATTGCATGGGTAAGTGATGGGAGAAAAACGCCTGTGTAACTGACACAAGGAGCTTAAACAATTTATGATGCGAGAATGGGACAAGAAGCACAAGCAGCAGCAGCAGCAGCACAAGCAGCACAATTTATGATGGGACAAGAAGCCCAATTTATTATGGGACAAGCAGCACAATCAGCAGGCGGGAAACCATGATGCGAGAATGGTGGGTCCAACCGAATCCAATTTCTTCCACCTCTCATGGAAATTGAGGATTGGAGAAGGAGATTGCATACCGAATTGGGATGATGTGGCCTAACAGGCCGCTCTGCAGCTTATTGTGGAGTTTGGCGTGTGGCCCGAGCCAGAGTCGATTTCGAAATATTGTTTTGTTTTGACTGGTCAGCAGCACGCCAGATTCCACAACGAGCTGAAGAGCGGCCTGTTTGGTGACATCATCCCAATTTTGAACAAGAGTTGCATTTTCGATTCTCCTTTCCTTTGAGAGTAGGGGAGGTGGAAAAGGTGGGAGTAAGTTATGGACTCGTTTTATCTTAAGCTTGTCTCGTCTCACATCACATGCACTTAGCCATTTTTGGTCCAGTAGAGAGCATTACCTCTTTCTCTTTGATGGTCCTTATCGTCATGCAGAAGTTGAGTAAATTTACATCCTGTGAGCATGGGATGGGATAGTAGGGGTGTGTGACTTAGGGTGAGATACGTGGAGAACGCGTACAAGTAGCTAGCTCCTGCTTCTTGATATCATATTCCTCTGCAGCACCCACTGTAGGTGATTTTTGAGAATTTTCAAAAATCATAACTTCACTCTTTGAGAATCTTGAGAATCTTCAAAAACTTCAATCAAACTTCATATCACTCCCCCCCCCGTGTTCTTTATCCCCCTCAATCACTCTCTTGCTTCCAATCTCTCCCCGTCTCTCTCGCTCCCCTTTTCCCCTCTCCCTCTCCTACTCCCATCCTCTGTCTTACTCTCTTCCTCTCCCCCTTTTCCAACTCAGTCCTCCCCTGTTCCCTCCCTTTGTGTTTGCTGCCCTCACAGTTTCCCCCTCATACCAAGTACCCCCAATATCCTTCCTCCCCCCCCCCCCCCCCCCCCCCCCGGCTTGCTCCCATCAGGTACTGGGACACGCGTCAGCCGACCCCCGCGCACACACAAGCGCTTCCCGAGCGGCCGTACGCTCTGAGTGTGCGGCACCCCCTCATGGTTGTCGCTACTGCGGACCGCCACATCATCGTCTACAACCTGGCATCGCCTCAGGTGGGTTTTGGAGGCACTTTTTCATGGAAGTGGGGATGCTGATAAGTATGGCTTGGAGGAGCCTTTTTGTGTAAAGCATCTCATTATCCCACTCCTAGCAAACAACCCCTTCTCCCCTGCCCCTGTCCCTGTCCCCGGCCCCTCCCCGATTTTTGTCCCCGTCCCGCCTCCGTCCCGCCTCCGTCCCGCCGCCTTCTGTCCTTCAAACGGAGTAAAAGCGAGTGGTATTCCCCCTCGAGTACCAGATGACCCGGCTTCTGTTGAGTCAACTCAAAGCCTACTCCGTCCCCCATTCCCCTCGTTCCCCCCCTCAACTACCCTCCTACATCCCCATTTTGAGGCGCCTCAAAAATACACTCCTACATCTCCATTTTGAGGCGCCTCAAAAATACACTCCTACATCTCCATTTTGAGGCGCCTCAAAAATACACTCCTACATCTCCATTTTGAGGCGCCTCAAAAATACACTCCTACATCTCCATTTTGAGGCGCCTCAAAAATACACTCCTACATCTCCATTTTGAGGCGCCTCAAAAATACACTCCTACATCTCCATTTTGAGGCGCCTCAAAAATACACTCCTACATCTCCATTTTGAGGCGCCTCAAAAATACACTCCTACATCTCCATTTTGAGGCGCCTCAAAAATACACTCCTACATCTCCATTTTGAGGCGCCTCAAAAATACACTCCTACATCTCCATTTTGAGGCGCCTCAAAAATACACTCCTACATCTCCATTTTGAGGCGCCTCAAAAATACACTCCTACATCTCCATTTTGAGGCGCCTCAAAAATACACTCCTACATCTCCATTTTGAGGCGCCTCAAAAATACACTCCTACATCTCCATTTTGAGGCGCCTCAAAAATACACTCCTACATCTCCATTTTGAGGCGCCTCAAAAATACACTCCTACATCTCCCATCCCTTCCTCCATCCAGACGGAGTACAGGCGAGTGATGTCGCCCCTCAAGTACCAGACGCGCTGTGTGGCGACCTTCCCAGACAGGAGCGGGTACCTGGTGGGGTCGATAGAGGGGCGCGTGGCCGTGCAGCACGTGGAGGAGAGCCAGCAACACCCGTTCCCCATTCCGCCCTCCCACCCCACTTCTCCCCCCTTCCCCCGCTCCCCCGCTCCCCCGCTCCCCCGCTCCCCTGCTCCCCTGGTTTTCGTTCCGCCCTCTCTCCACCGCACCTGTCAGACAGAGTACAAGCGGGTGATATCGCCCCTCAAGTACCAGACGCGCTGTGTGACGACCTTCCTAGACAGGAGCGGGTACCTGGTGGGGTCCATAGAGGGGCGAGTGGCCATGCAGCATGCGGAGGAGGCGTAGAAGCAGCTTCCCTCCCCCCCCCACTTCCCACTCCTCTTTTCCCCCCTTCCCCTGCTCCCCTGCTCCCCTTATTTGCATTCTCCTCCCTCTCCACCGCACCTGTCAGACGGAGTACAAGCGGGTGATATCGCCCCTCAAGTACCAGACACGCTGCGTTGCGACCTTCCCAGACAGGAGCGGCTACCTGGTGGGGTCCATAGAGGGGCGCGTGGCCGTGCAGCATGTGGAGGAGAGCCAGCAGCCCAAGAACTTCACATTCAAATGCCACCGGGACGGCAACGACATCTATGCCGTCAACTCCATTGACTTCCACCCAGTGAGATGAGTTAGGTTGACTTGCGTTGACCTGCGTTGGGTTGACTTGCGTTGACCTGCGTTGGGTTGACTTGCGTTGACTTCTACACACCCGGTGAGACTGGCTTTGTGGCGACTCATGAGGAGAGGAGAGCCAGCAGCCCAACCCAAGAACTTCACGTTCAAGTGCCACCATGATGGGAATGACGTCGATGCTTTGCTGTTTGCTCCACTGACTTCCACCCGGGGAGATGCGCCTCGTTGACATTTGTCGGCTTTTACCCTGTGTTGACTGGTTGATTTTCATTCCCAGGCATAGCATGAACCGCCTCTCCTTCTGTCCCTCACTCTCTGTGCCAGCGCCCACTCTTACCCCTCCTCATGCCTTGTCCTCCTTGCCTCCTCCCCTCTGTCCCCCACGGCACTTCACATCCACTGCAGCAATTCGGCACGTTTGCAACAACTGGCTCGGATGGGGCGTACAACTTCTGGGACAAGGACAGCAAGCAACGACTCAAGGTACGCCACCACTGTGAACTTATATTCACTTTGGAGCAGTTAATTGTCCAATTATGCAAGCCTGTTCAGCTGGCTGTGCTCTTGCTATTCACTGATTCATTCTGCACCTTTCCTCTGCATCCTCACTGTCTCATGCCTGTCACTTTTGCTGTTTGCACATGTGGTTGTCTGCTCTGCATGTGATTGTGACTTTGTGCATGCCATTGTGACGGGTGGCATGTTACTGAACGCATGTGTGCATGATGCTGTCTGTGACTGGTGGCATGCCACTGAATGCACGCCATCAGGCCATGCAGCGTTGCAGCCTGCCCATTTCCTGCAGTGCCTTCAACCATGATGGAACCATCTTTGGATATGCAGTGAGTGGTTCCTACATCACAGCAACCTTTCAACAGGCTGCAGTTGACTCCATTGTTGCGCCTTGCATGCAGTGTAGTGATCTTGTCAATGGCAATTTAGCCTCTGTCCCCCCCCCCCCCCCTCCATGCCCGTTACTCTCTTCGTTTGCCTGCATCTTGACCACCTCGTAAATACCCCGACTCTGCCCCCCTTGTTCGCCTCCATTCTTTTTGTTGTGTGCTCCCATTTGGTCGCAGGTGAGCTATGATTGGAGCAAAGGAGCAGAGAACCACAACCCTGCAGTGAACAAGAATTACCTCCTTCTCCATGCAACTCAGGTGCCCCTTTCTACTTTCACTCCACACCCATGTGCTATCCTTCTTTAATGCAAAAAATCACAGTGGTGTTCCTTTTAGGAGTTGCGTTCTATGTTTGCTGCTGTTTTAATACACTTCACACTGTTTCTCTCCGTCCGTTTGTTTTGTTCTCTTCAAACAGGAAAACGAAGTGAAGGCCAAGGCTAAGTCGACCACCACCACAACGCGAAGATAGCACTACTACTTTTGTAGCTGAGGGAATTTCGGGGGAATTTACAGTTAAAAAATGGCCAATTCAAGCTAGGTCGCAGGGTTCGCAATGGGCCACAGCAAGCATTGCCCTCATTTCTTGTTGCTTGTGGTTCAGCTTTTAATTGGAAATAAGAAGTTAATGGTGGACTCCTGTGTAGTAAAGGCCAGTGTACTGTCTGATTGTGTCACCGACCTGCGCCGAGCCGAACTTTCTCGAAGACATCCCTCAATATTGTCCTTGCCACGTCGACCTCTGCGTTCTGCAAATCCCAAGGGCCACGCACCCTTCCGCTTTCCACATCGAGAACATTGTTGCCACGTGGCGTTGTACCCCTCCTTCCCCTCCCCCCCCTCCCTCTCAATCCCTCTCTTTCCCCCAACTCGAGCTTATCTCCTCTGCTCGATGTTTTTGACCAGTCCACTCCTCCCAGCTTGACATTATTATTCGAGCTTGTAGCTCCCGTGAGCTTGCTGTCCCTCGCTGCTCCTTCGAGCTCAAAGTTTGCACGCCTGCCGCTCGCTTCTTCTCCGCGCTTCGCTGCGCTCGCCGCTCGCTTCTTCTCCGCGCTTCGCTGCGCTCGCCGCTCGCCGGGTGCAATCTTAGCCTTTGATACAGATCTGACGCTCGGAATGGCTCAAGCAGTGAGCGGTTCGTCCTCTGTAGTTTCACAGTTCGCTGTTACCGCAGCTGACGTGTCAACCCATCTCCGCAAAGGACCAGTCGTTGCCACGTGGCACGCTACTGCAGCAGACGGCGTGGCGGCGCGGGCTTCCGCGCTTCCAGCACTGCGTGCTCGACAAGCGACCCGAGGAGCCTCTTTGAGAGCTCGCGCCTCGACACCAGTGGACTATGACTCGTCACAGGTACGCTTTTGAGTCGACTCAAATGTGGACTACGATTCGTCACAAGTACTTCGCGCGTCAGACGCGTCAGGTGCTAATTTCGTGGTTGAAGGAAATTACAACCGAAGAGGTCATGTTTCGATCTATCACTTCGCACAGACGTACATCAAGCGTCAATAGGTTTTTCAAGACCAAAAATGAGATGAAGTGAGAACCGGTCTAACTGACGGCGTAAAACAACGATCCGTGCGTGTTGCTCAGTTGCCGTCACTTCTGTCGGGGGCTTCTTGTCCCGCGCACCAGAAACTCGAGGGCTCTATTTTTGAGCCGCCTAAAAGAATAGGCTTTTGTCAGGGGCTTCTTGTCCCGCGTATCAGAGACTCGAGGCCTCTATAGTTTTGTTCATACGAGCTGACTTTTGAGTCGACTCAAGAGTCATCCCGCGTACCAGAAACTCGAGGCCACAATCTTTCTGTTCATACGGCATGAGGGAGAACCTTTTGTGCACGCAGGGTGCCTTTTCTACCGCGGAAAGTAAGTTCATCCCATCGAATCCGCTGCCTTCCCTTCGATGTCCCCGTCGTCGCCCTTCCGCCAGGACGCAATAGAAACGGATGTTGACGATGCTGCTCCCGCTGAGCTCACCATCGACGGCATTTTTAAGCAGGCGGCCGACGCGTCCCAGTCGGAGGTCGACGCCTCTGAATGTCCCCCCTCCATTCCCCCTCTCTTCCCCTTGCCACTGCATCAGCAGGCAGCGGAAACGGATGCCGACGAGGCAGAGGCCACCCCGCTCACCATCGACGGCATTCTGAAGCAGGCGGCGGACGCATACGAGTCGGAGGATGAGGCATCAGAAGATCATTCCCTCCTCCCCTCCCTTCTCCTCGTCCTCCCCCCTTGCCGCTACATCGGGAGGCAGCGGTAATGGATGCCGACGATGCAGCTTCCACCGACCTCACCATCGACGGCATTCTGAAGCAGCCGGCGGACGCGTACCAGTCTGAGGTCGAGGCCTCTGAATATCCCCCAACCCACCCCACCCCCCCAACCCCCACTCCCCCATTCCTCCCCCTTTCTCCTACACCAGGAGGCAGCGGAGACGGATGCGGACGATGCCGCTTCCACCGACCTCACCATCGACGGCATTCTGAAGCAGGCGGCCGACGCCTACCTGTCGGAGGACGAGGCTGCCGTGGCGTCCGTGGAGGCGCAGATCCGCGCCATGGAGGCCGACCGGCAGGGGCTGGCTGAGAGGCTCGACTCGCTCACTGCTGAGGTGAGAGTTCTGTGGTGTGAAGGATGGTAGGGTTTGTTTCTAGAGTCACTGTGGCGGCCGTGGCGACCGTGGAGGCGCAGATCCGAGCCATGGAGGCCGACAGGCAGGGGCTGACCTAGCGACTTGACTCGCTCACGGCTGAGGTGAGCATGTAGGGTTGCGTGTGGCCTCAAGGAAGGAACCAATTGTTTCTAGAGTCACTGTGGCGGCCGTGGCGTCGGTGGAGGCGCAGATCCGCGTCATGGGGGCCGACCGGTAGGGGCTGGCTGAGCGGCTTGACGCGCTCACGGCTGAGGTGAGAGCAGGGCGTTGTGTGGGTTGAAGGATGGTAGGTAGGGTGTGCTTTTAGAGTCAAAGTGGCGGCCGTGGCGTCCGTGGAGGCGCAGATCCGAGTCATGGAGGCCCACAGGCAGGGGCTGGCGGAGAGGCAGGGGCTGGCTGAGCATCTCTGAGTGAGCATCTTGGACTGCGTGCGGGTCGAAGGGCGTAAGGCACTGCTGCCCCTGGATATACTTTTTGCACCACTGCCGTGGCGCCCGTGGAGAGGCGCCCGTGGTGCTCCTGAGGCAGAGGCGTCCGTGGAGGCACATAACTGAGGCTCACCTATCACCTGGTTTACCAGTGGAGGCGCAGATTTGAGCGATGGAGGCCGACTGGTAGGGCTGGCTGAACGACTCGGCTCGCTCACTGCCGTGGTCAGGTGAGTGCTGCAGTGAGGCGAGTGCTGCAGTGAGGCGAGTGCTGCAGTGAGGCGAGTGCTGCAGTGAGGTGAGTGCTGCAGTGAGGCGAGTGCTGCAGTGAGGCGAGTGCTGCAGTGAGGCGAGTGCTGCAGTGAGGCGAGTGCTGCAGTGAGGCGAGTGCTGCAGTGAGGTGAGTGCTGCAGTGAGGTGAGTGTTGTGGTGAGCTGAGTCGAACCATACGACGACCACCACCAGTACTTCACACGTTTTGCTGTGAGAGGTGAGACCAACCCCCTTCCGTCGACCCCAGTCCTTCAACCCTCTCCCCTCGACCCCAGTCCTTCAACCCTCTCCCCTCAACTTCCCGCCCCTACCCCCCCAACCCAGATTTCAACCGCCAAGGACCGGTTCCTGCGGCTGAACGCGGACTTTGACAACTTCCGGAAGCGGTCGGAGCGGGAGAAGCTGGCGATGGCGGCCACGGTGCGCAGCGACGTGGTGGAGGCGCTGCTGCCCATGATCGACTCCTTCGAGCGCGCCAAAGACGGGGTCAAGGCGGAGACGGACGCCGAGAGGAAGATTGATGGCGCGTACCAGGGGATTTATAAGCAGTTTGTGGAGGTGCTGAGGGGGTTGGGCGTGTCTGCAGTCGAGACGGTTGGCAAGGAGTTTGACCCCAACGTGAGTTTACCCCGCGGTTTTTTCTAGTCACTAGTTGGCCGGTGAGCTAGTAGCCCTGTCGAGAGACAGTGGCGTCGACGTGGTGGGGGCGCTGCTGCCCTGTTCACTCCCGGTGGGAAGGGCAGCGGTGCTAGCACAAGCGGTGAAGGTGCTGCTGCCCGTGATGGACTCGTTTGAGTGCGCCAAGGAGGGGTGAGGGCGGAGATGGACTTGGAGAGGAAGAGTGATGTCGCCCACCAGGGGATTCACAAGCAGGTTGTGCAAGTGCTAAGGGGATTCACAAGCAGGTTGTGCAAGTGCTAAGGGGATTCACAAGCAGGTTGTGCAAGTGCTAAGGGGATTCACAAGCAGGTTGTGCAAGTGCTAAGGGGATTCACAAGCAGGTTGTGCAAGTGCTAAGGGGATTCACAAGCAGGTTGTGCAAGTGCTAAGGGGATTCACAAGCAGGTTGTGCAAGTGCTAAGGGGATTCACAAGCAGGTTGTGCAAGTGCTAAGGGGATTCACAAGCAGGTTGTGCAAGTGCTAAGGGGATTCACAAGCAGGTTGTGCAAGTGCTAAGGGGATTCACAAGCAGGTTGTGCAAGTGCTAAGGGGATTCACAAGCAGGTTGTGCAAGTGCTAAGGGGATTCACAAGCAGGTTGTGCAAGTGCTAAGGGGATTCACAAGCAGGTTGTGCAAGTGCTAAGGGGATCTCGAGTCAACTCAATAGTCACCTACGACTTCTGAGTCGACTAAAAATTCACCTACGGCTTATGAGTCGACTTGAAAATCGACGTCGTGTGCCAGGGGATTTACAAGCAGGTTGTGCAATAGCTGAGGAGGCTGGGCTGGGCGCGTCTGCGGTGAGACGGTTGGTAGAGAGTACCTGAGGGAGGGGCAGCGCAGGAGCATCCCAAGGTCTTTTTAATTCAGGACCAGCTTATCCGCCCCGTTGCTTGCTTCATTGCGCGGCGCCCTCCCCTCTCCACCTCCAGGTGCACGTCGCCATCATCATGTGCGGAAGGCTATATCGAATCTCCTGAGGGCGCAGTGATTCAGGAATTTCACATGGACTTAGTGATTGGGGACAAGCTCATCCGCCCCTCTATGTGTTGCCACTCATCCCCCACCCTCACATCCCTCATCCCATCACCAGGTGCATGACGCCATCATGAGGGAGGATTCCACCGAGTATCCCGAGGGTGTGGTGATCCAGGAGATCCGCAAGGGCTTTGTCATCGGGGACAAGCTCATCCATGCTGCTATCCAATCCCACCTGCCCTCTCCCTCTCTCCCTTCTCAATCCCTCACTTCCAGGTGCACGATGCCATCATGAGGGAGGATTCAACCGAGTATCCCGATGGCGTGGTGATTCAGGAGTTTCGCAAGGGTTTTGTAATCGGGGACAGGCTCATCCGCCCCTCCATGGTCAAGGTCTCTGCTGGCCCGGGGCCTGCTGCTGCTGCTGCTGCTGCTGACGCCGCTGCTGATGGTGCTGCTGCTGGCGGTGATGGTGGGTCTGATGCTTCGGATGCAGAGGGTGGGGAGAAGTCAGAGTAGGGTTGTGCAATGTGCACTTAGCTAGCACCAGGAGAGTCAGCAGCAGGGGAGCCAGCAGGAGAGCCAGAAGCAGAAGAGCCAGCAGTGCGTGTCTGCCATGCCCTGTCAGTTTTGGTGCTGCCATGCCATGTCAGCTTTGGGCATGCCGTCTTTATGTATCCCGAGGGGAGAACTGTAGTGCATGTTGTGATGTTTATCTCCCTTTCTGGAAGATCTAGTTGGTAGCTACGATTTGCTATAAGACAGGCAAGTATGATGGATAAGGCCTCTTACACTTGGGTTTCTGCCAACAGAATTCGAGTTGCTGGTGAAGGATGATTCCAAAGCACTATGGCAGGGCTCCTCAAAAAGGGGAGACTAAGGGCAATGTTTGTTTTCTAGGTTTCATTTTTCTTTCTGCCGTCAGTAGTCTAATTTACAACTCGTTGCAATTGTACACGTTAACGAGATTGCCAGTACAGTGTGAGGATTGCAGTGTCCAGTAAATGCAGACAGCCACCACTGTTGGGGAACAAACTGCATCGCCACGACCACTGCCTTTCACCCAACAACTGCTGCCAGACGAGCTCTGCATGGATTCACGAATCTAGCACATTTTTGGGCCAGTTCTACAGCGTAGATGCCACGCCATGGCTTCCAACCTCCCAGTCACCGCGTTCCAACTCAACAGCTGAAGACGCGTCATTTGGTGGAATCGCTCTTCTTACTGTACAGTCTCACTTCTCTCAGGGTCAGACGACACTGTACGTCCTCCTATCAGACAGCCAGCCTGGGTGTCAGTCACCTTGATTGCATCTGGCTTTGCGTTTTCTCAGAGGCAATCGTCGTATCTGGCTGTGCTGCAGTACTCTTTCTCGCAAAATACGAGGCTGGGAGTGTATCCGTTCCGATAGTGCGTAGCAGAACACGTGATTGCTGGCTCACCAGCAGTTTGCCGGCCATTCTTATCAGCGTGATGCTGCATGCGATTTGGAAGTTTTCCTCCTCGCCTCCCTCCCTCCTCGTGTACTGTAGGTAATGTAGTGCCCCTTTTTCCAGGGGATGTATGTGGCCCTTCGTCCCAGGTGCTTTACTGTTACTGTAGCTGACAAGTCCAGATGCGCATCAATCCGCATTTTGTACTGTACAGCACCTAATAAACTGTAGTCACACATTACTGTACTGTACAGCATAGTGTCAATCATGTAACTTCAGGACTGGAGCCGTTACAGTCGTGGTACCGCGGGAGGCGTAGGAGCGGACAGGCGTCACTGGCATCACGTTTTGAGGCTCCTCAAAACTAGCCGTTACAGTCGTAGTACTGTACTGTGGGGCGCGTAGCGGACAGGCGACACCGGCATCACGTGGGTGCAGTGCAGTGCAAGGTGGGCATCAGCAAACGAGCCACTCATTCCAGATGTTATCGAGGCGTCTGGCTGGCTGCGTTGGACCAGACGGAAGTTATGGATAGCAGCTCTCCCCAGCCCGCTGTACAGTACAGACCGTCCGATCAGCACAGTGCTCCACTGCAATCCGTTCACTGGCAGTGCGATCAGTCAAGCCCGCCCGCGAGAAGCGCAAGCAACCAGCCCATGGAAGGAGTACATCCTCACGCCCAAGCCAATCCCCAGGAAGCCCAATGCCCTGTGTAGACCCCGGGTCTGGTTCGGCTCTGTGCTTGTCCTCCGTCAGTCAAGGTTCTCTGCCTAGCCTACGCAAATTACTCATTTTCTCGCGCAGAATCGCAGCCCCTCCCCCTCAGGGACGATGGCGATTTTCGCTAGATCGAACGCATCTGGGGAAGCAACCGGGATTGGGATGTTCACACCTCCAGGCCGCCTGGAAAAAATATACATAAATATAAAAGATTCTCCCAAGCGCAATCCCATCCGATCTCGGTCACGGAAACTCCTCCGAGAACCGAAGTCATTGTTTTGAGACGTCTCAAAGCAATCTGGGTAACGGAAACTTTTCCCAGGACGAGACCTCCCTTACCCTCCCTGGCGTCAGCACCGTTCTAACGCAACCATAAAGAGCAGCATTCCTTTCGCTCAAGTTCATTCCTATCCGCTGAAACTGCTTTGAGCTAACTAAAGCCTGCTGAATCTCCCCATAACGTCTTCTATTTAACCTTCAATTTGAAGGACTCCGTCCGAACTCCAGGTGTGAGTCGGTTTTGAGCCACGATTCTAATCCGGAGCACAGCGGTTACAGAGCTGGGTATACTCTCAGCCCATCTTGGGTCCCCGTGAGCCCCAGGGGCGATCCTGACCGTCTCATTCCCATGGCTTGGCTTACCACACGCGAATGGAGCTTTCCAGACGGAGACCCCGAGGGAGCTTCGCTGGGACCAAACGCAGTGAATCATCCCATGAGCGCCCAAGGCTTTGACGAGGCCGGCAGCACCAAAACGGCTGCGTGCAGCATTGACAGCCTCTGCCATGGTGGCAGCAGCCGTAGCTCCCCCACCCCAGCGCACATGGCGGCAGACATCCCTGTGCCCCAAGGACGGACGAGGAGAGCGGAGGAGGTAGCTGGCATCGCTTATGCAGGGAAGCATGGAGTCGTCGGGTACTTAGTGACTGCTGATGGGAAAAGTGTGTGTCATGGCGTGATCATGGCTCCTCGCAGCCCATGGGCGAAGGAGCTGGTGAGAGAGCACAGCTTGAAGTCAATTTCTGATGCGACTCAAAAGGAGCTGGTGAGAGAGCATGGCTTGAAGCCAGCTTTTGAGCCGACTCAACAGGAGCTGGTGAGCGAGCAACGCTTGGTGCTAGTCCGAGAGCACAAGCCAAGGGAGCAAAAGCGGAAGCGAGATCATGAACATGGTTGTGACAGCAGTCGCAAGAATACACCTCCCGGGACCCGTGTGGCAAGAGGGGGAAAGAACGCCGGCCGGGCTGAGAAGCATGCAAGCAGTCTCCCCGTGGGCGCTCGAAGTGCAGCCGTTGTGAGAGATCCAGGATTGGTGGGAGTACTGGGAGCACTGGAAGTGACAACGCCGAGTCGTGGTGCCACCAGTGCAAGCTGCAGCACCCAAGCGCCGAGCTGGGCAGCGTGCAGTCCGGTTGGATCATCGCCATCCCATGCGCTCCCAGGTGTGCTGGGAGGGACCTCGTTCCCACGGCCGAGCTGGGGGGCGTACTTCCAGGAAGAGCAGTCGCAAGGGCTGCCACTGCCCCTGAAACTGCTCTTTGCAGAGGCGCTCGAGTCAACCGGTCATGGCGGAAAGTGCGGGGAAATGGGCAAGGGCGAGAGAGCAGAGGCGTCTGCATGCCCTGACACGGCTATGGCTGCTGACTTCATTCTCCCTGACCTGAACCTGCCTGCTAGTGAGGCTGGTGGGCGCACCTTGGCATCATGCTGTTGCAGCTATCGTCAATCCGTGTGTGTCGGCCATGGCTTGGGTAGCCCTGGCACGACTGGCAGCGCCTTGCATGGCATGCTACTGCCCGCACATGGGTTAGGTGAGCCGAGATTGCGTGGTTCACAGCCGATTCAAATGCAGCAGCTGCTGGCGCTGCAGCAGCAGCAGGAGCAGCAGCAGCTGCTGGCGCTGCAACAGCAGCAGCAGCAGCAGCAGCAGCAGCAGCAGCCGCCGCAGCAGCAGCAGCAACAGCAGCAGCCGCAACAGCTAGATCAACAGGAAGAGTGCATTTTGCAGGAGCTGGGGCAGCATCAGCAGGTGCCCCTCAAGGATACACTGGCCATGGAGTTGAGAAACCAACTTATCAGGGATATTATGCTCTACATGCCACGTGATTTGGCTTCGTTGTAACAGAGCAGCATTGCAATCATTGGTCCTGTACAGTATCTCTCCTTGAGCAGCCAATCCCACTTCAGAGATTCATGTCCAGGCGTGCTGGTGATCATGTTGTGAACTACCATTGGTTGGTTCTGAGCTCCATTGACTACTCCACATTATCCAGGAACGCATCTCTAGAACGGAGCTTCTTTGAGAAACAAATGGCTATTTTTCTAAAAAGGCATTCCCCTTCTTGAGACAGAGTCCTGATGCATCTAGAATCGAGTGAGAGATGCACCCTTCCTACGGTACGATATCCTTCCATATGAATAAACACCCCTGCTGCCTGCACCAGTATGCAGTGATGACTGGTTGGTTACTCACTGAGTGCCTCAAAACAAACACCTACGGCACAGCCTTAGTTTGTGCTGAGTCAACAGTGTCCACACCAGGACCTCATATTTCAGGATGTTTTATCCTGAATTCCTGATTTTCAGGATGGAAGTTAGGTGCCAGTCCTGAGTTTTCGGTTTAATCCCATTTCTCACCCTGTAATTTTAGTTTAGAGTTTGTGTACCAGCCCTGAACTGTCAGTATGCCTTCGGGGATAACCCTGATTTATATGCACCACGGGACGGGGGTACCCCTTGTTTTCCCCTTGTTTGCTGCCTGAGCTCTCACGTCTTGGTCAGTTTGCCGAGTGCACTGCAGCAAGCCATCACCACATGAAGCGCTGACACTTTGCTGCCATGGCACACTGCTGCCCAATCGGTTGGCAGCACAACATGCATGAAAACTGGTGTTCTGTAACATTGGGCAAGTTTTTCAGCTTACCAGAATTTACCCTGGGGCCTAAGTATAGAACATGGGAATCACCCTGAGGAATCAGTATGCATAGGAGCGGTCAGCCCTGAGTGATCAGGATGCCAGAATTCCTATCTGAGGCCCTGGTCCACACCAATTCTCGCATAACATCAGTCATCGCCAGTCAAGATGTAATTTAGAGCCTCAAACAGGTCTTGCAGAGCCTTCTCCTCCTCCCTCCCCATCCCTCTACTCCCACCGCCTTCCATCCCTTTGAACGCCTCCCTTTTGAGCACTATCGCCGTGGCGCCAGCCGCCTTCATCATCCTAACGTCCTCCACGGATGAAGCGCCCTGTGTCGTGGTAACCATGTAACAAAGACATCAGTGTGCAAAATGCGTGAGCGATAACGAGATTATCCATATAGGTCGTGGTAATGGTAGTAGTGAATGGATAGAGCCCTAGAATGCTTGGGAGTCCTTATTGCATTCGCACAAAAAGCAAGACAACAACAAGAACAGTGTTACATCCAGCATGCGGTAACCGTCTCACCACAAGAGCAGCAGCTCCGAAGGGCATGGAGGAGAGCAGCGATTTCGCAACGCTCTGTCTGAATCCCGGCGCTGACACCTGAGGGGATAGGAGGCAGGCAAAAGTGCAAAAGAAGAGCAGAAGGACATGGAGAGAGACACATACAGCGAGCATCCAGCCATCTGTGAAGTCACAGCCATATGCATGCCCTCTCACTGCCATCCGTTTGTCAAGGCAGCCATCCCGCCATCTGTAAAGTCACAGCCATATGCATGCCCTATCAATGCCATCCGTTTGTCAAGGCGGCCATCCCGCCATCTGTAAAGTCACAGCCATATGCATGCCCTCTCACTGCCATCTGTTTGTCAAGGCAGCCATCCCGCCATCTGTAAAGTCACAGGCATATGCATGCCCTCTCACTGCCATCCGTTTGTCAAGGCAAACATCCCGCCATCTGTAAAGTCACAGCCATATGCATGCACCCTCACTGCCAGCCGTCTGTAGACTCACAGCGAGGCCAACGGAGAGGTTGAGGCCGTAGATGGGAATGGCGAGGGCCTCCACCCGCTTCAGCTCCTCCAGATTCACCACCTGGCGGGGGGGGTGGTGATGGGTGGTGATGGGTGGTGATGGGTGGTGATGGGTGGGGTGATGGGTGGAGTGATGGGTGGGTTTGTTGATGATTGGTGGAACAATTATTGTGAAATTGCTTTTGGTGCTGATGGTGGAACATGCACATGATGAGTTCACTTGAGCTGACTCACCTGTTTGACTTGCGTTGACTCATATGTTCGACTCGCATTGACATACCTGCTTGACTTGCATTGACTCATATGTTTGACTAGTGTTGACTTGCCTGTTCGACATGCATTGACTCATATGTTTGACTGGAGTTAAATCATATCTTTGACTTGTGTTGGCTCATATGTTTGACTCTCGTTGACTCGCCTGTTTGACTTGCGTTGACTCACCTCTACTGCCACGTCAACTCCCAATCCAAAGGCAAAGGCGAGCATTGGAGCAGTGGCTGCAGGACACACGCATGCACGCACACATGCACACACATGCATGCAAGCACATATGCACGCACACACATGCATGCAAGCACACATCCAACCAAGTACACGCACCCATACAAGCACAGATGCATACCCACGCATGCACAAGCACGCACACACGCAGCAGCACAGCTTTCAGCGCCTGCATGTGGATAGTTCTATAAACGTTACGCTGTCAGTCCCAGGGTGGCAAAGAAAAGATGATCTCTGAATGGGTGGCAGAGAAGAGATGATCTCTGAATGAACTATGCAACCCGTCCTCATAAAGAACGGTCACTCACTAGATGCTTGAAAAGGTTGTGAGGAGTGAGCAAGCATCTTTATTGAGGGCCCCATGTACACGGGCCCTATGAAAGGCCGCAACTCCTATCAAGAGTGTACAATCTGCAGCTCCTCATAGATCATCATGTGCTACGCTCTTGAAACGACTCTACAGAGGCAACTTTATTGAAAAGGCTGCAGCAGCCGGCCATGACAGTCACCACATAGTATAGTCTTGACAAGGTTGGGAGTGAGCATGCACCTTTATTGAGGTCCCCATGTACTATGTGAAAGGCTGCAGACCCCCATGAAAGTCACCACATGTACTATATTGAGCATGCACCTTCACAGCAGCCCTTCAAGCGAGCATGCACCTTTATTGAGGACCCCGTGTACTATGTGAAAGGCTGCAGCCCCTGCTTCTGCTGCTTCTGCCACCTTCACTCACTCACATACACCCGCGTACTCGCTCACACACACACACACACACTCACACACACACTCTCGCACACACACATACACACACTCAATCACACACAGAGACTCACTCACTCACTCACACACCCTAGCTCAATCCCGTACCACTCAATCAGTTCCACACACACATGCACACCCCCACACACACACACTCCCTCGCTTAGTCAATTCCACACATACACACACGCACACACTCATGCACACACTCACGCACACACTCATGCAGACACGCAAACAACAAGAGAGCAGGGGATGGGAAGATCAACAACAACAAGAAACTTTGTGTTTTCTTTGTCGTTGGAAAAAGACAAGAAAAAAAAAGGAGAAAAACACACACACGCACACACACACACACACACACACACACACACACACACACACACACACACACACACACAAGCTGTTGCTGCAGAACAACTGTAGACGCATCAGCGAATGTCACTATGGAACAACTCTGTTTCTCTTGTATCGATGCTCACCTGTATGGGATGTAGCATCCAGTCTTTGGCAATAATGGGCACTCCAGGGAGGGCTGGCAAGAGCGGGTAATAGTCAGATGATCGGGGGAGGGGCGGGAGGGAGAAGGGGGGGGGGGGTAGATGAGATAGTGAGTACATGAGAAACGACATCAAGACAAGAGAGAGAGAGAGAGAGAGAGAGTGAGAGAGAGAGAGAGAGAGAGAGAGAGAGAGAGAGAGAGAGAGAGAGAGAGAGAGAGAGAGAGAGATACATGCTTGTACCCACCTTATACGCTTCGCCTGTACCCTAGCAATCCCCCTCTTCCCCTCCCTCAGGCTGGCACCCCCTCACTTCGCCATAGCCCTCGCCTTCCGCCTGGGCCTCCCCTTCCCCACACCACGAGTTTGCAACTGCGCCAAGAAGGTCCAGATCCCGGACCCACGGCTCCCCAACCACCTGTTCCGTTGTGGGACAGGGCACGGGCGCACCGATACCCACAACGCCCTCAGGGATGAATGCATCCGTATGGGCCAGGACGCGCAGCTCATCGTCTCGAAAGAGACGGCCCTCTACAACCCGGTCGATGGCAAAACCGCCGACCTAGCCGTCCGGGACCGGGACTCGGGAGCAGTCTGGATCTGCGACGTCACTGTTACAGACCCAGTCAGCTCCAGGGACCCCCTCGCCCGCAAGGGGCGCGGTTACATGGCAAGGGAGCAGGCGGACAAGAAGACCGACATGTACCGCCACAGGGCAGAATACGTAGGCTTCTTCCCGCTGGCCGTTGAGACATACGGCTGCCCCTGCGCGGAAGTGCCGGCCTTCCTCAAACTCCTGGCACACACGGCCGCCCGGCGCCTTTTCAATGCCGACCCCTCCTCGTACCAGGCGGCGAAACTACTTAGCCAGTTTCGCCAGCGCTGGTCCGTCACCCTCCAAAGAGGACAGGCACTGGCCTACCTGGGGAAAGTGAACGAGGCGTCACCGCTAGAGTGGCCCCCCTTGGGAGGGCCTGAAGCGGGCATGTCCCTCGGGGACTGCTTCGCCGTGATAGAACCTTAGAAAAGGGGGGGGGGGGGGGGGGGGGGGGGTTGGTAGGGCCGGGTGCTGGCCTTTCCCCACCGGCGGCTCTAGCCTACGCCTGCTCCACTTGCCTAGCATGTACCCAGGATTCCCACCAACAAAGGACCATTCGAGAGAGAGAGAGAGAGAGAGAGAGAGAGAGAGAGAGAGAGAGAGAGAGAGAGAGAGAGAGAGAGAGAGAGAGAGAGAGAGAGAGAGAGAGAGGACGAGGAGCCCGCGCTCCCAATCCCGGTTCGACGACGCCGGAGGACTCGCCCGACCTTGGGGGGACTCGCTGTCCCCAGTACTCTCCAAATCGGCAGAACGCTCCCGCGCTGGTCGCTCCATCCCGAGGAGGCGCACCGCACTCGGCTCCCCCCACGACTCGACACGAAAGCCGAACGACGACCAGGGCCGCCCCGAGAGGAAACCACGGAGGCGGACGCGGAAGACTCCACACACGGACAGCCGGAGGGCGCGGTCGCGGGGCGGCAAGGCGTGGCAATCTGTCCTCCGACGGAGGACCGCTGAACGGATTCCAGCAGGCAGCGAACAGGGCTTTAAGTGCCGCGGAACTGCAACGAACGACTGATGAGGAGGAACGGGCGGACGGAACTTATATACCAGGGAACCAGGGAGACCCCCCGACTGAGACCTCCAGTGAGGAGGAACACGTCGAAGCAAACAGGCGCGCTGGAGGACGAGAGACTGACCCATCTCCAAGATCTAGGGGACGAGGGTCCAGCCGTTTGCACAATACTCGGACACCGCTGGACACCCACCCCCAGGCAGCCCAGCAGTTGTCCCCGGAAGAACTGGCGAATGACCCCTCCAGATTCGCCGTCATCGCCACGTGGGATGTCGCAGTTCTCTGCGACAGTCGCCAACCCCCTCTCTCCCGCCGGTTACCCCCCCAAATCCGTCAACTTTTCGCGCTCACCCTCCTGACACCCCTCCTTTTCCTCGCCAAACATCCAACCTCCATCGAGGGTTGGACCCTGTTACTTTACCTCCCGCGCCTCACACTTCGCCTACCCTCGCCTCGACGCCCTGACTGGCCCGCGACGGAACGACGACTCCGACAATTTCTCGCGGGCCAGTGGGACACACTGTACCAAGCTGCTGCCTCGGCTGTCACCCTGCCACCCCCTCCCCGCCACGTACCTGACACTCTCGGGAAAATATCCCGCGCCGAGGGCTTGGTACGACGAGGCAGTTTGCGACGGGCACTGCTCGCGTTGACTTCGACCCCAGTCAGCAAGTCCACCCCCACGGTCCTGGACGCGCTGAAGTCAAAACACCCCCCTCCGCTTGTCGAAAGCCTCACCTGGCCACGGCTTGACGAAAACTGCAGGCCGCCGACAGTCGATTTCGCTACGTTCGCGAAGCTCCTCGCCCGCTCCGAAAATGGAGTTGGGGCAGGCCCCTCGGGGATGACCTTCGAGCACCTTCGCGACGCCTCGCTGTCCAACCCCACCGTCGCCACAAACCTCCACAAGCTCGTCCAGCGGTTACTGGCGGGTAACCTGCCGCACGAGGTCAGCCAGCTCGTTACCTCCTCACGCCTCCTGGCCCTTACCAAGCCAGATGGGGGTACCCGCCCCATCGCAATAGGGGAGTGTCTCCATCGACTGGCGGCAAAAGCCGCGCTAATCTCCTCCACGCAATCCGCGCAAGACTACTTCCTACCACACCAATACGGGGTAGCCATCAGGAGCGGCGGGGAAACAATCATCCACGCCACCAGGGGCTTTACCTCTGCGCGCCCGGGCTCACTCATCCTACAAGTCGACCTCTCGAACGCCTTTAATAGCGTTGACCGTGGGGCAATCATCCACGCAATCAACACCTCGCCCCTCCGCCCGCTCCTTCCATTTATCCAATTCTCGTATGGCGCGCCGTCTCTGCTCTATCTCGACGCCGAGTTTGATAGCCCGCCCCTACTCAGCGCACGGGGAGTTCGCCAAGGGGATCCCATGGGCCCCCTCCTCTTCGCAGCAGCCATCCACCCAGCCCTCCAGGCAACCGCCGCGGCCCACCCCGAGGTCCTTTGCCTCGCATACGCTGACGACGTCACTTTCGTCGGCAACCCGGACGCCTGCACCTCGGCATTCCTCACCTTCACAGCCGCCATGGACCGCATCGGTCTCTCCCACAACCCCGCGAAATGCGCAGCATGGTCAGCCGAGCGCCCTGCACCCGACCGCCTTCCCCCAGACATACCTTTCAACACTGAAGGCGTCCGCGTGCTTGGCAGCTTTATAGGCACAGCCGAGGGCACAGCCGCATTCCTCCGCACCCAGCTAGCCCTGCTAGCCGAACCCCTCGCCACACTGGCCACAATGGACCCTCAGTCCTCATCCCTCCTCCTCACACGCTGCGTGTCCCGGCGTGTCTCATACTTAACCCGCACCACCCCCCTTGACTTCCTACCCTTGGACGTCTGGTCCGACTGGGGTAGGGAGCTCTTCCATACCCTCCTGCGTGCCTGCAACCTCCAACAGCCTCGAGGGGAGGTGGAGCAGGCGCGCACTTGGGCTCAAGCGTCCCTCCCTCCCTCCCTTGGAGGACTGGGTCTAACCGACCCCGCAATTGAGGGACACCCAGCCTACCTCACCAGCCTCACCCAAGCCCAGGGCCTCTTGGCTGCCCTCCCAGCAGCGTCAGGAGGGCCCCTGGCTGACGCTGTCCGGCACCTCACGCCACCTTTCACCAGCCCCACCCACTTGCATACCTGGCTGGCGAAGTGTGAAACGGCGATGCCCCCACGAGCCCGGGAGCTCCTGCACTCCGAGAGGAGGGAACCCTCCGGCTCCCCACTCCAACACCGCTTATCCCTCGAAGTCCAGGCCGTGCGATACGCCGGCCAGGTGGCAGCCACGCGGACAATGGACCCAAACCCACTCTCTGGGCACACCCAACGCCTCTTTTCCCTGGCTGGATATGGAGCAGGGGACTGGCTTCATGCCATCCCCATCTTCCCATCACTCCGCCTCGAAGCTCCACACTTCGCCATTGCCCTGGCCTTCCGCCTCGGCCTTCCATTCCCAGCCCCCCGCACTTGCAACTGCGCCGAGGAATTTGAAATCCTCGACACTAGGCTGCCCAACCACCTGCTCCGGTGTGGCACCGGGCACGGTCGGACTGACACCCATAATGCCCTGCGGGACGAGAGCATACGGATGGCCCGGGATGCTGACTTTATAGTCACCAAGGAGACCACCATCTACAGCCCCGTAGACGGCCACAAGGCCGACCTCGCCCTCCGAGACCGCAGTTCTGGAGCCGTCTGGATCTGTGACGTCACTGTCACAGATCCCATCAGCAGCCGGGACCCGCACGCAAGAAAAGGACGCGGATACATGGCTCGGGAGCAAGCTGACAAGAAAATCTCCCATTACCGAAATCGGGCTCCGTATGTCGGATTTTTCCCACTTGCAGTCGAGACATACGGCTGCCCATGCGCCGAGGTCCCTACCTTCTTGAAGCTGCTGGCTGACACAGGGGCCAGGAGACTTTTCAATGCGGACCCCAGCTCCTACCAGGCCGCAAAATTGCTCCACCAGTTTCGCCAACGCTGGTCAGTGACGCTGCAGCGGGCACAGGCCCTGGCTTACCTGGGGAAAGTTAATGAAGCCTCCCCTGCCCCCCACACCCCAGTGGGCACCCCTGACGCCGACATGGCACCCGGGGACTGCTTTGCCATAGCAGAGCCCCTAGGGGAGCTCGTGTAGTTTCGAGCCCCCAAACATGCGCGTACCTTGCCTTGCTGCCCCTTGCCTGCCTTGCCTAGCCTGTACCCAGTTTTCCAAGCAATAAACGGACAGCTTGAGAGAGAGAGAGAGAGAGAGAGAGAGAGCATGAGCCTTTCCTCAGCTATATAAGGCCCTCTCTCTCCCCATTCTCCTTGTTTAGTTTCCATCCATTCTCTTTTCCTCCTTGGTTTCGGCTCGCGCGGAGAGAGAGAGCGAGAGAGAGAGAGAGAGCATGAGCCTTTCCTCAGCTATATAA